ACCGCGAGATTTAACGACGTTTATACGGCAAGTGGGAAGCAAACGATGCATTTCGGGGTGGAGGTGCTGGGTGGATGGACGGCACCGAGGACCCTTTAACCTCCGTTACATCCTCCTCTGGGGTTTATTCCTCGCCTACGGTCAGGTTCGGCGTATAAATATTTTAGCGTTTCGCCTTGCCGATTCCCCTTGTGCTAATACGTCGCTTTAATGTCGGCTCCACGAGTCAGGTGCAATTTAATCGGGAAGGGCTCGCATCGAGATTGGAAGACGCGGCGCCGACAGGTCTAACCTCGGCTTTCCCTTAAACCTCCTTTCTGCTTGAATTAGGTCTGATGGAAATTTTAATACCCGGTGAATTGGCTGATATTATAATAGCTCAGGTAGACGAGTTCGCAGAATACGAAACTGAAATTTTATGTGGATTCGTGCAGGGACATTCGATATTCTATATACCGTTGACACCCGACGCAGGGAAGTAACGAAATGGAAAAATGTGGATGTAATGAGGAAATAGAAGAGTTGTCTACGCTTTGAAATCGCCGTAACCAGATTCCAAGCTTCTTTTCGTGTCTAATGTGCGGCTATGTTGCTTTAAGGTTAGGGAAAATAAAAACTAGAATGAATGGGATAAGTATCCACCAAACACGGTTACCTAACAATAATATAATTGTTACATAACGTTTGTAATATGTAATGTAACGTTTCCATAACATATTGCATGTTATGTTAATATTATATAACTGCTATGCTAACAAGTCTGTAATGATGTTACCGAACGGTAATAATTCAACGTTATGTGATATTAATGTATCTTTTGAATAATATTTCTTATATATTTAATATATATAATATTTGTTATACATGTCATGTTATTCCAGTGATATGTACCTGTAACATAGGGTGTTTGGTGGGTACGTGTATCTGAAAACGTTTTTCCAGTATCGATTATAAGTGCACCATTCTCATGCGCACTCATTTTACAATACTCGTATTTTTACCGAAGCATAATGTGGATCTAAGTACCTTTTTTTTTTTAAATAGGGATTAGCAACGATCATGTACTTGGCGAGGTTTTTGTACACGGCGTTACTGCTTAGGTAACGAAAATGTATATTATGCAAGTTTGCGAAGTTAGCGGCAATTCTCGTCGGTGGATGAATTCAATCGATTCATTGAGATATCGAGAATGCTTGAAATAATCATACGATTGTAACAATGGAAACTGTTCCACTTCCCTCGAATCAGAAACATACAGGCGCTGATATCTCTGATTTTACTCAAAAGGTTCTGTTCATTGAACAACGTCAATGAACAGAACCTTTGAAAACTCAAACTGACGAAATGCCAAGGATATTTACGTGTAAATCATTTAACCAGCGTGTGAGTAAAGTTACGATCGTCGAGAATTTATTTTTTGGCAGAATACCAGTAAAAGCGTGTACACCGAAACCTTTTTTATACGACAGTTCCAGAAACAGTCGTCGGAATTTCGGAGAGTATCCTCTGTAATACCCATTCCAACAGGACAGACACGGTTTTTTTTAGTAGCGGAAACTGTAGTAAACCTTGGTGACGCACCTGACAGGCATCCAATGTATTTCCGTAAACTAGTCGATGTGAATCTCCTTTCTAGTCGATGCGTTAAACCGTCGAGTAACATCATTCGGTCTGCAGAAGATGTAGGTAGCATCTGCCCAACGCGTCATGTCTTCAAAAGCATTTCTTTGGAAACGAATAATAATTCCGTTGAAGAATTGCAGCAGAGGTATTGGTGGTGGCTTGAAGTTTTCCCAGGTGAAGTCCGAGTCAGCAACCTCATATAACTCGAGTCGAATAAGACACTTTTTTTCAAGAGCATTGGATCGAACTGTCCGAAACTGTGACATGACTCGTGAGCACCTAGGAATTATCTTGACACTTTGAAAATTTGGATTTAAAAGAAAATTTCAACTTAGTCTTGACCAGAACCTAAATGGCGTCGAGCCCTCATATTTCGATCGATATCTAATTATTGAAGGCCCCGATATGAGAAACGAAAGTATCAGGACAATTGTACAACGATTTAGACTGCTCTAGTACTCGAGAAAGTCGCATTCGAACGGGATACAGGCAAAAACAGTGTCTTATGCCCTGCTATGCTAAACCGATGGTAATGTGAGGTCTCGGAGTGAAATTGAGTTGACATGGAAATCACTGATGGCGCAGGGGGTCCCTCTTCGGTCAATTAGGGCCTCAGAAACCATGAATCCAGAGGATTTCTGGAGTTTTACTTCGATTTCTTTATACCTATTGTACGAAAACGACAGGTGGAGTGTGCCATTTAGTACAATGCCCAATATAATTCGACACAGCTGTCAATATAAAAACCAACGTCGGCACCGTAGGTACTTAGAAGAAGCTTTTTTACCGACGTCGATCAAGTTCCTCGACGTGTTTCATTTCACCTTAAGGGTTCAACTGAGATCGATAATCTCGATCCAGGAAGTAAACTTGTTCGTGGGCGAATTAACGAGAATCTATACCTGAAGAGTGGTTCGTCGATGCATCGATACGTAGGCGAGTATCTGCTGATACTAATCGGCTGATTATCGTCATTTGTCCCTTATGGCGAAATTAGACGATAACGTTCTCGCTAACGAGCGGCGTAAATCTTAGAGGGAATTCTATAAATCCGGGGCCAGAATAGCGCAGCTGCTCTGGTAGTTGGTCTATGACGAATATGAGGTTAAACTCAATTTATGGGGCGAATTTCGCTGCCTCGCGAGCGAGTGGGCGATTTACGAAGGTGCGAAATGCCGTCTCTGACTCTGGGCTGCGGACCAAGTGCATATTCTTGATCCCGAATGAGACCGGGCTATTTTTTTCTTTCTAATAATTCTAAAAATCCACATTTATTTTCGGAAGTAAAAGCAGCTATCGAAGCTCGCTCCCATTGCGGCCTAGGTCGATGGGTGTCGAATTTCAAACTGTACAAAATAAATCTTGCCAATTAAATTTTTACGAAATTAAGGTTATATGAATGAGGCATCCGAGGGTCAGGCGCTGATGAAACCTAATGTTTCGAATTGTTCGAAGCCTTATCCCGTGGATATGGAGGTTCTAAGGAAGGTCCGAACGCCTACGAAATTTCATTCCTATAAACAATGACCAAATGTTTATAAAGAAATTTAAAAAAAAGAAGTTTCATGGGTGCCAGGACTTTTCTTAGAGCCTCCATATTCACATGGTAAAATTTCAAACAATTTGGTGCATCCCGATTTTATGGCGAGCAGGATATTTTATGATGTCGGTGACAAACGAAAAATACATTCGTTCATAAGATACTTCATATTTCGGTTCTATTTTCCGAAAGTAAGAAAACGATTCCGTGTTTCGGTAGAGAGCTAACGAATTTAACATCAGTTTGACAGTACAAATGGACATGTTGATGATCCCTTTGTTTTACCCCCTTAAAATATGAACAACCACTTATGTTCAATTGCGCAGACCCAATGTCGCTTTTTGCTAATTTGATCAACAATTACGATCCCATGGTGGGTAAGTAATTGTGTACTTCCAGTGAAATGTCGTTTCTCAATGTGTACTCTGCAGCAAGCAAATCTCACTCTAGAATAGAGATAACCGCAGGCAGATGCATTGCATCCTTACGCATCATCGCAAGTGTAATTGTATTAAGTCACGGGAGCAGAATTCTACACGTTCAATCGATAAAGAATGCGCTTCTATTGAAAGAATGTGTGGATGGCGAGAAACTATTCTTGTGAAGTATCGCCGTTGAGAGTTCGCAGTTCATCTTTCAGTGAAACTTTTAAATCCGTTCTTCTTTCGCAATATGTACAGATAGAATGCGTGTCTCCATATAAACGGTTTACGTCACTGTTCGATTAATGTTTAGAACAATTAATCCGAATTACAATTGGGATGTTCCATAAGTTCATGGACAATCATCCTCGCAGTGAATTTTCTTTGGAGGGAATTGCGCATGCTTGAATAAAATTACGGAGAAGGTGGCTAGAAGTGATCAACAATGCCGGAGCATATGTTATTAATTAATACGTGGTTCGTTTCGTTGCATTAAGTAAATTTTCAAATCTTTACCAATTTGTGTAGAGAACTTATGAAGCAGCCTAATAGAAACGTATGTTAACTATTTGTAAGTACGCAGTATTATTATGAAATGTTCAAAATCCATAGGACAAAATCGACTAAATCAGGCGAGTCAGTACATAGGTTGGGTTGAAACATTTTTATCTCATACACGTCAGATTGTTGAACCAGTGGACGACGAACACAATCTTAGACACGTTCTTTTTCATGTGCAGCATATATACTATACTATAGTATAGCTCGCGCAAATTTCTGCGAAAAGTTGGAAACTCTCGGATTAAATTCAAACAAAAAAATATTTATATTAAATAATGTACGTATGACGCAGTATAGACACTGAACCAGTCGACGATGAGCACAATCTTAGACACATTCTTTTTCATGTGCAGCATTCGGTGTTTTCGCAATAGTCGTACTATAAGTCGCGCAAATTTCTGCGAAAAGTTGGAATCTCTCGGATTGCGTTTAAACAAAAAAATATTTATATTAATAATGTACGCATGACGCAGGATAGACACTGAACCAATCGACGATGAGCATAATCTTAGCTGCGTTCTTTTTCTCTTGTGCAGCATTCAGTGTTTTCGCAATCGTCGTACTATAGCTCGCGCAAATTTCTGCGAAAAGTTGGAAACTCTCGGATAGGGTTCAAACAAAAAAATATTTATATTAAATAATGTACGTATGACGCAGTATAGACACTGAATCAGTCGACCATGAGCACAATCTTAGCTGTGTTATTTTTCTTGTGTAGCATTCAGTGTTTTCGCAATCGTTGTACTATAACTCGCGCAAATTTCTGCGAAAAGTTGGAAACTCTCGAATAGGGTTCACCATCGCGTTACCGCGCTCGGAAATAATGAGTTTAATATGAGTGTATGATTTCCCAGGGGGCCTGTTTCACGAGTCGGATGAGAAGCAGATGGTGGCCTTCCGCTATGCCGCGGACAAGATCAATGGCAACAGGGACATCCTGCCGAGATCGCGGCTCAGCGCACAGATTGAACAAATATCGCCGCAGGACAGTTTTCACGCCTACAAGCGCGGTAAGTCTAATCACGTTCGATTGTTTTCCGCCTCTTTCCAAGGTTTATGCCCATTATTGGTGTCGCCGTCGCCTCGGCGATTATTTTATGTGCAGTAAAAAGAGGAAGTGGTTTTCTTATTGATCACTGGCAGCACAGCTCAATTTAAAGCACACGTTTTACCGTGAATTGCTTGAAAGACGTGGTGCGTGCCCCTACTTATAAGAGTACTTAAGTAAGATCGATCGGTGCTGAGGTCACGCACCGTCGGCCCCCACATTAAAACGTATCGCGTGTAAACGATCTTTTCCTTCTCTTTACGCTTAACAGCCAGTATCCATCACGGGACACTTACACGATAAGAGAGCGTGTGGTAAATCACGAATGTTCGTAATTCTTCTTCCTATCGACGAATAGAATGCATACATTGTGGAGGGCTTGATAATTCTCAGAATTAATTCCAACAAGTCATATGAACAAGACATATGGACATCTAGAATTAATTGGTTAACAACTTTAGCATTTTAATATAAGTACTTTTACTGAAATGAAAAGTTTTACGTATACACGTCTTGAACACAACACAGTTTGTGAATACGACCTACATGAGATATATCATTGTACGCAGGGTGTACAGATATGTCACTGAGAATCTGAAGTAATAATGTGAACTTTGAAAGCCTGTAAAGTGGTACTGTTTTAACGGTCTGAATTTTGAGCAGCCCTGTTAACTATTTTGAAAGACCACGAGAGCTTTATGCACGAGAGAAGGAATGTTTTTGTAAGTGGCATGAATTTATGGCGGCCTCCCCTTGAGTCCGCAACTACCAACCATAACCTTCCGTGGCATTCCGTGTCTCCGTGTCTCTCACTTTCCTTTGCAAAACCGTGTCACGTCGACCCAGGGTCGACTAAATGGCCACCCGGAAAGTGAACTTCATAAAAAGCTTTCTCATCCTTGACATTGTCGTGGTCGCGCTTATATCGTTCCCTGCATTATTCGAAGAAACTTTTTAGGTTGGACAAATATGTTAGTAGATTTGTACACTTTTCATGCTCAATTGAATATGAAGTTAGGCGTTGGAAGTCCAATATAATCGTAATATTAAATTGTTTAAGTCGTACTGGACCCCGCGACCCTTTGTAAGCCCAGACGTGGCCACTTGCCCAAGGGTAGACGGCGCCTAGGACCTCCCGTTGTTTAGACGCTCGCCTGTCTTCTGTCTAGACGATCCTTAGAATCGTGTTTGCTTTCGTTACGGTTCTAAGTTCCGTCATAAATATCCCTCTATCTTTTCTCGCTCTCCTTAAGTGCATTACCACTTGATCTGAAAACTCTAACTTTAAGCACGCACTTTTGGTCCTCTTCCTGGCACCTTCTTTATGTAGCCCTTGTTCAAGACTTTCTCGGTCCTGTAACCCATTTTTGCGTTCCCCACCTTAGGCTCCTAAAGTGCATAAACTGTTCTCCTTCTCAGCATCCTACTTCCAATCATCTTCCTTTGTAAAATGTATTCGAACGTTGCCTTGATCTATCCTTGATGATTTTTCTAAAAACTCCGCCCTCGAGCCCAGCAGCCTGAGGCTCGTAAACCTGCAGCTCATTTTTGGGTTCTCCACCTTAGGCTCCTACAGTGCATAAACTGTTCTTCTCAGCATCCTACTTCCAATCATCTTTCTTTGTGAAATGTATTCGAACGTTGCCTTGATCTATCGTTGATGATTTTTCTAAAAACTCCGCCCTCGAGCCCAGCAGCCTGAAGCTCGTAACTTCTATCGCTTTGCTTTCGAATCAGATTCTCAATATCTCCCGCGAGAACAACTAAGTCTTCATATCCTCCGCTTAATCCCAAAGTTGCCTTAGCAATCTCTAAGTCCACTCGCGCTAGTGGCCTGCTCAATCGCGATCGTTGATAGTAACATCGCATAAATCAATCTCTTAAGTTAGTATCGCTCCGTTAGTTTTGTTATTAAAACCTATTCTATTGTTTCTGGCTATTGGTGATAATAAACTTTAAGTCTCGTTAAGCATTTCGCACCTGGCATTGCTCTATCAATCCCGTGTTCGCTAGTAGTTCGAACATTTCAGGATACGATATTTTGAAATTTTGTATACAACTGTATTTGTGTTTTTGGTACGCAAGCATACGAATTTCAGAATTCATGCATCTTACTTCATGACATCTTTTGTATATTCATTTTTTAATACCTCAACCAATGAAAAGGCAGAAAAATATGTAGTTAGGAACTTAGTGGAACATTTTTGCGCCTTTTCATTGATGGCACATAAATATCCAGGGAGTTATGTGGGTCGTACCAAAGAATAACTGATGAGATTCGAGGAGAATTTCGCCAACGCGGCATCTGTTTTCGCTTAAATGCTATTCCCTACCCCTTGAACGTTGCCGTTTTAAACTTCTTCAACGTGGAAACAAAAACCATCGGGAAACAAATTCCAATGAACTCTCTACTCTTAATGTACTTCTCGTGGAGGTGAGAGAATGAACGGTAAAGAAGAATCCAACGTCTCTATCGTGTACTTCGTTAATTTCGTTGAACCTTAGTCGGACATAATACGGTTGGACGCCTCCGAATCGGTTTCGTATCTAGCACAGTCCTTCGGTTACCTCTCTTCCTCCTCACAATGGACCTACACTAGTTTCTATCGGAACTTTTTTCCGATACCTCCTCTCATTACTTCGTCTTGGAGAGTCCGTACGATTTCTTCCACACGAGTCCATTTAATCAAGTAGAAAGTAAATTCCAGACCAATGATACAACTCGTATGTGAAAATCCCATTGTTATCATGGTTAATGTTTATTCGCATAACAGGGCAGGACGACGTCCGATGACCCAATCATTGGTAATACTTCTGTTAATCACCCGCCTAGTCTTAATTTAATTTTATATCATCACTATTCCTAATATCGTAATATCTACACAAAATACTTCTTGTGTACAAGAAAGACATGAACTTGTTTACGAGGCTAACGTGTTTCTTGATTTGCCCTGCCCAATAAACCCGAAGTAGCGAAATTGCGCTTTTAAATGTATTTGGCACGAAACTCTACCTAGTTTCTTGATACACGTTTAGAAGTTGCGAAACGTGTTCTGAATGTTCACATGTTCAACCCATTCTCGTAAAATTCAACGTTGATATTGTGTCTATTTTACGTTTATTAAACTACCGGTGCACTTGCGTAACGCGAACGTCGTTTAAGCTTTTATTTTTGAACATATATTCAACATGTTTATAAAATTCGTGAAATAAACTAAATTCGCAAACGTTTTGCAAATATTCCAGTCTGGCTTTAAGAAAATAGTTCATAATCGTTCATTGTACAGAAACAAGAAATACGTGACGATAATCTCTATTCAATTCCAAAAAAAAATATCCAACGCAAACTTGAATTCGAATAGTAGTTTCATAATTACAGTGGTTTAAAGTGGACCAATCATCAAGCAGAATTAGTCATTGAACAATTAGTTTACCAATTATTCTAATTAGTCACCGGTACAAACATCCCATTACCCGTGTCATCTTGAAGGCTCAAATCTCAGCCTCAAATGCACTTATTTTTCTTATTTTAAAGTTCACTTATCGTTTAGCAAGGGACTTTTCGTCTTGTTATTTTTGGTGCTAGTTGCAATTTTGTATGCAACCTGGATTTCTCCCTACATTTGTTGTTATCGCTACATTGCTGATTTTGAGCTCGCATTCAAATTCTTTTCTGTTATGATATAATTCAAGAATCTTGCAAACAAATGTCTATTGTTAGCTACAAGCACTGAATTTAAACAATGACCCAGGTAATGGGACCTTTGTATCAACACTGGTCGGCGACTAATCTTGCTTGGTGATTGGTCAACTTTAAATGACTGCAGTTTAGAAACTACAATTCCTAGTTTCGTAGGGTAGAGTTTGCCCTGAATATTCTCCTTCATAATTAATTAGAGATATCGTCATATATTTCTTAGTCACGAAGTCTGGGACAACTTGTACATATACAATTATCGTAAACACGTTAAATTAAAGTACATGTTTCTTCTGGACTAGGAGGAGACGCATGAAAAATGAAACACCTAATATCAACGTTTTTCATAAACATGTATTCTGTGTAGAGAAAAAAAAAACTCAGCGTGAATAAACGTTTATTTGTTTACACCTACATTGTATTCCCATTATCTTTACGTTTATGAAACATGCATTCTCCTATTTTGTTTGTTTGAATAGAAAGCCTCTATCAGAAAACCTGCACTACACAGGATAGTGATTAGGAAGTGACCTTCTCATCCTTATTAAAATTCTTTCCGAAAGTTCTAAAAACGCCAGCTCAAAGTAAGTTTGCCAAACTTCTTAAAAAGCTGACTTTGCGGCGCATAAATTAATCTAAGTGTACCTGTTTTTCGAAAGTTCCGAATATTGCCTTCTCTGAAGATTGTATACGAGATAAATTAGGTAGCTTAAGATGCACTTTCTAACAATTATGCAAATACTAACATCCTCGTTTAGGCTTCGCTCGCAATGTGTGCAAGTAGAATTCGATATTTATAATCCCCCCCTTAGGGGTTGGTTAGGCCAATATCCTGAAATTTGTTTTTACGCATTTCTATGTGTACCGTTTTTAAATGAAAACCAAGTCGATATCTCCAACGACTTCGGATATAAAACACATTTTATCCCTTTTCGCTCCCTTTGGGATTGAATTTCGAAAAATCCCTTCTTAGCAATCAACTACGTTGCGAACAGAATATACCACCCAAATTTGCCATTTCTAGGTTTAGTGATTTCAGCTGGACGATGATGAATCAGTTAATCAGGGCTCTTCTTTGTACGTATATACAAATTGTTATTAACAGAACGTTAGCTTTATTTCGAAAAGAACATAAAGTCGACCTTTCTCGCAACGTCTCCGAAAACTGAAGAAGAGCTCAATTTTCTTCTGTCTTGACATTTATCGGATTTATGCCTTTCAAGATAGTCCAGCAAAGTTTAAGAATTCCGCGGAAGGGGTGAAAA